CTACTACTACTACTGATAATACGGTACGTACGGTAGGTAGTAGTACGTACGACGTACGTACGTAACGTAACGTTAAATTAAGTATATAGTCACTTATTATATATATATATATATATATATATATATATATATATATATATATTGACTTACATATACATTACATTTTATATATGAACACGGTTTCTATGCGGCCAGCCCTCATATCATAGAAATGCGGGATTGGCAATAAATATAGTTTTTAAATATAATTTGATCCTAATTTTTAGAGAATATATAATCTTTAACATGGAGATCATGACTATGAAAAATAATAATAATTCGAAAACCAGAAATAATAATTATATTAAGAAAACATTTTGACCGTTAGTTACACTTGTTTTCAAATGGACCACCTATTTGCATCCATCTTAAAGATGGATGCTTTATACCTCTGGACTGCATATCGTAGAAATGAGGTCCAACCCGCATGAAACAATTTTCTGTTATATATAAATATATATGGAAAATGCTTGGATTAGCCCACTAGCTCATATGACCATATGAGCCAACAGCCCAGATTGAATCTGGGCCGATCTGACGGTCACGACCTCATTTTGTATTTTAATTTTAATTTTTTTTTCTACAAATCCAAATATCTTGAAATTTTAGTTACACTCTTCTCATTAAGGAGCATCTAATAAAAATATTTAAAAAACAATTTGTATGAAATAAATTGACCAAATTACCCCAAAATAATTTCAGGGGTATTTTGGTCAATTTATTTCTTGCAAATTATTTTTTTTTATATTTTTATTAGATTCTCTTATTTTTTAAGAACACATGCCTAAAATTTCAAATTATTAGTTCATCAGAAGCCCGATATATTCATTGATTATTATATCAGCTTCAACAATGAATAGAATCACATTAATAATAAAAGTTCTCTACTAAAAAACTACTTTTTGTTAGCCTCCTGTATTTTTCTCTAATTTATTTTTCTGCATTAATTCATATTATCTTTCAGATTCTTCTACGGATTGCTTTGATCTGCACATTTTCCCATTGTTCCATGATATTGGTCCATGCCACGCTTTGCATGCGATGTACTAGTTCGTTAAAACACAGAAAATTCCAGGTTCTCCAAAGCCATCTCAATAAGTTAAGCCCAATTACCAGCTAGTGTCCGCTCTTCTTGGCATCGAGCAAAGTCCCATACTTTAACAGTACCATCGTCAGAGCAAGAGCAAAACTTCAGGTCTGTCCTTGAGAAACTGTGAAAAAGAAAAAGTCCATACAATGCCCATGGATGATTGCAAAAAACCTTTATGCTTGCAATTAAAAGTTAAACAATTAATAGTTAATAACTGATTTTTTTTTGAGAGAAAGAGTTCTCAAGTAGTGTACCTCAAGTCACGAACGGATTCTTTGTGTGCAGATTTATTAGCCTTCACATTATTCATGTTGGTTTGCCAGTACCTATGGCAAAACCCTTAGGAGAAAGATTAGTACTTGACAGAGATAGAGCAACCAAACTGGTGAAACAAGTATTTTAGAACGCAGCTCCAGCAAGATATGCACCTCCCAAGTTGAGCTACTCGAGCGAGTTAACTCGGACTCGCCTGAGTCAAGTCCGAACCATGATAAGGGGCCAAAAACACGAGAAAAAAAAAAAATGTAAAAATAATTAATTTTTTAAAATGTACAAAATAAAAAAAATGTGATCATGGAATAGGAATAAAATTGTTGTTATGGGGTTGAAAAAACCAGAAAATCTGAAAAGGGAATCTCAGAAAAAAAGGAAAACAAGAAAAATAATAAAAACATAAAAGTATACACAACCAAATCAAAAACCTTCTCACTAGTTTTGGGTTTTGAGTTTGGATCTCAGATATCCGAGATCTTGAAAACTTTGAATGAATAGTAAATCTGAATTTCAAATATCTCAATCCTTTTAAGTTTTTTTCTTTGGTTGAAAATCAAGTTTCTGATTGGATTAAAATCACAAAAATAGGATTAGAGATTGAATTTCTTTGGAGATTGACCATCGATTGTGAAGAAATCACAATTTTTCAAAACCGGGCAAAATCTTTGCCGATTTATCTAAAAAGTCTGTCAAATTTAGCATTTTATCCTCAAATCCAAGGCTTCCAATATATAGATCAGGGCAAAATCTAATTAAGGAATGAATTTGGACTCAAATCGCTAGGATTAAGGCTCCAATCTAAAAAAAAAAGAAAAAAAGGAGGGTGGATTTCTATCCTCCCCCCCCAGGGGCCAACTTTTATTCTGACCAGTATGGTACTCGCAAGTACTATATTACCATGAAACTCAAGCAAGGTGCAAGTTTCACAGTAGTTTTGACAAGTTTGTAACAGTACTCATAGAGTATCATATAGGTACCTTTAGGTGCCCTAGTTGGCTCAGCAGGCTGCCGAGCCTCGGTAACTCACCTGAGTCCCAATCAACTTGGGGAAGTTTCTGAACACTAGGTGAAACCAAAACAACAAAATCAAGATTTGAAATTGACATACTTGATCGAGCCACCATCATCACCCGTGACCATCCAGTTCTCGTTATGGCTCCAGACCATAGACCTTATTGCGTTATCATGAGCCTTCATGTTTTGGAAACACAAATGTCAACAATCATCATTTCTCAATACTCCAACAAAGGAACACGAAGAAGGCAGAGAACCCATTTAATCATCCATGTCAATTGTGTCAAAGTACAATACCTGAAGAATCATTTCAAAATTAAATGATTGTCCATTCCAAAGAGTGAATTCCCCACTTTGAGAGCCTGTGATAAGTCTTCGCCCTGTGGGAACCCACTTCAGCCCAGAAAACAAAGATAAGAGGGTTTGTCAGAAATGAAATAAGGATGTTGAGCAACATTTGTTCAACATACTCATGCAGCGCAACAGCAAGAGCACAACAACATCTCTCTTGTGATTGGGTAAGCAAAATTAGGCAGAATGAGATCAAAACAGGATAAAAACCCACACCAAAGATGTGCAAACTGAATTTATGTTGTACAAAAGGTATACAAAAATCACAAAAACAAGTATGAACAGGCATAAAAACATGCTAGTTAACTATATAAATACAGTTACTATCAGTAGACAGAAATTAAAGGAAACATTCTATGCTCTTAATAAAATGAAAAATAGTCCATCTTGAAATCCCACTTACACCACTTAAAAACTTCGTTATAAGTTAGGAAAGCAAAACAAAGAAATCACATTGTTGTGCCTAAAACTAGATTTGCAGGCCAAAACCAGTATTACACAGACCACCCATTTTCGTTTTTGTCCTGTGCCTGCATATGCTAAAGACACGTGTCGACACACCTTGACACGTGACAGACACATTGTTCATTCTTGTATGGAAAATTACAGCAGCTAGACTCCACGTCGACGTGTATACACACTATGTTTGGATATGAAACATGCAGTGTCCATATTTTGTTTTATATAGAGCATTTCCATTGTGGGTTCTATCAGAAAGATATAATACCCATCCCTTAAAAATGTGCAATAAATGCTTCTTTTGATCTCTTACAATTGCATTTATTAGAGTAGAAAAGTCAAACTGTTTAAATACTATTACGCGGGACTCAAAATAAAAAGAACTCTCTTAGTGCATTATACAAAGTAGAAAACTCAAAACATTTAAATACTACCATACGAGACTCAAAATGAAAAAAACCCTCCTTTAAAACATACATATTTTAGAGTAATCACATACGGCACAAAAGAATAACTCTCTTATAAAAAGAGGGTGAGGTTTACACTGAAGTAAGGCATGCTTCTAAATTTTGTCTAGAGCTGTAGTTTCAGTGTCAAGAACCTTATGATGGCTTGAAAATTTGTATCCGACGGTAGTTATAAAATTGAGAATTCCAAAAATGGTACAAATCGAACACATTTATATACACTTAGAAATCTTGAAAATAGACGGTTTGAATAACTTGTTGCAAGATGTACTATTTATTGGACTTGAAATTCTTCTTTTTTTTATATCTATATATCTCAAGGTCAAATAAAAGGTTTTCTAACTCCTAAAAACTCTTTTCTATTGGATTTTGTAGCTTTATACAAACTTTTTCCATAAATAAAATAAATAAATAATAAAATTAAAATATTGATGTTTATAGATATATTTTATATACATGAATAAATATCATATATTTATTATCCCACAAAGAATCTCCAAAATTTAAATGTGGTTTCTATTCTAATATGTAAATTGTACTTTGTTGAATTTAAGCTTGCACCCTTCTAAGAAAGTATGGAATTATAAATGATTCTACAAACACAAACTATCAAAGATGTTTGACATGCATTGTGAAAATATTATTTTTGCATATAGTAAAAGAATATTTTAATTTTCTTGCATAAATCATCATCATCATCATAGTTTTTTCCCAATTAATTGGGGTCGGCTACGTTTTCTTGCATAAATGTGTTTATATTTTAAAATCCGACATCTTTTTATTTTTTATTTTTTAATAATTTATATTTTAAAATCCTTAACTCTACCTTGGTTGGCCCCATGCCGGTCCCAAACCTAGGTAAAGGCGAGATTGTGTTAGGTAGGAAGCCAGTATAAAACTTTGCCACATCTTTTCATAAATCCTAAACCTATATTGTATGGTCATGCTAAGGCGTTCCCAATAAGCAACGTGTTGTATCGGCATGACTTATGGGCTCACTGAGAGTATGGCCCTTGATAGAGCAGAATGGCAGAATAAGGTTCGTGCAGCCAACCCGAAATAGTTGGGATAACGCTTGGCTGATAATGATGATGATATTTTAAAATTCTTATGTGACTTATGCATATTATCATCATCTTCATGTATTGTCATCCAAGCCTTATTCCAACTATTTGGGATCGGCTACACCAATCATCTTCTGTCATTTTGCTCTAACAAGGGCCATACCCTCAGTTAGACCTTAAGTCAACATATCTCTTCTAACTACTTCCATACATGCCCTTTTGGGCCTTCCCCTTGCCCTTTTAGAGCCTTCCGCTTTCCTAACTGGTGTTGGAATAGGTCTATACTGCACATAGCCCACCTAAGTCTACTTTCCCTCATCTTATTGCTTATTAGAACCACCCTTAAGTTCCCTTGAATTTATCCATTCCAAATTCGATCCTTTCTTGTCTCGCAACTCATCCATCTCAACATCCTCATCTCAGCTACACTCATCCTATGGATATGTTGTTTCTTGACTGCTCAACATTATGTCCCATAGAGCATGACTCATCTTATAGTCGTTCTATAGAACTTTTTCTTTAGTTTTATTGGCATACGATGATCACATAAAACTCTGGATGAACAACTCCACTTTGCCCACTCAGCTCTAATTCTATGCATAGACGTGTCGAAGGCCAAGTTGTACTGGGTTCTAAGGCCGAAGTACTAGACACCCATGACACATACTAGACACGACACCAGTATGAGTGTATATGTAAAACTAGCCACAAACAAATCACAAACATATATCAGAAATGGATCAGTCTCTACAAGTCAAACCCGTTGGACTGGGGGTCAAATCGGTTGGACTCAATTTTAACTTTGACTAATTTTCAACAAACCAATTTTTGCTTTAAACCAGATCGGCGAAGGTCCCGGTTCACGGTTTGACTGGTCGAACCAGGTAGTCCGATCCAGTCTTGATAATTATGGTTGCAAAACCCGTACACTACAACCTTCATGAATTAACGAAAATTTTATATAACATTGAAATCATTGCTTTAAAATGCACCCCAGAACACATTATGGGGTTGCGTAATGTGTAATGCGGCCTGAAGAACACCGTTCCAGGCCACATATGCAGAAAAATGTGATGCGTCCATATATATGGTGCATCACCAGCATATGTCGCAACATCAATTGCTACAGAATTTCTTTGGGTTGTCTAGTAAGATTTTCATTCCTAATAGTCTTTTTTGGCGAGTCTTTATCATCTTCAAGTAAGAAGAATTTGGTATGCAAATATGCTATACTCAAGAACCCAACAAATTGAATTTACAGTATTTGTACTCTATAATTACAAGGGGGTGTATTTTCCAGCAAAAGCAACACCTAGCTGGTATTTCCAGAAATGCTAAACCATGCCCACAGGCAACCAATGAGATTGAAAGAGAGATTCGAGCATACACACATAGTCAAGGAAAAACAAAAGAAAAGAAGAAAATGACACAAAAGGAATTTATAGAAGAAATTCAAGTATTTGATGACTTGTCTAATTGAGAGTTCAGAGTTCATTATCTTTTTCTCTTATAAGTCATAAACTTTTTGACTTTGCCTCTTTGAAGTTTAAACATTAATGTTTGGAACTTTGGGTATTTTACATGAGATGGAATGGACTGCTCTATATTGCATGTTAATTACGTTAGACATTTGAACTATGAAAGATTAGAAGTTAGAACAACAAACTCTATCACTCTTTATCAAGCTATGAGAAGACTCAAAGTCTTGTACAACTAATATATTACAGATATTGAACAGATTAAAATTCCTACTATAACATAAATCACATTTATATTTTTTCTAGGCGTTATTATATTTTTGTGGATTTTGAAATGGACCCGATTTCTATGCGGCCAAGCCCGCATACGTAGAAATGCGGGCCTCTTAATAAATCTATTTTGGAGATAAATTTTAAGACAATTTTTAAGGACATGTAATCTCTAACATGGAGATCATGAATATGAAAAAATAAATAAATTTTAAAAACTAAAAATAATAATTTTAGTAAGAAAACATTTGGACCGTTAGTTTCCATTGTTTTTAGATGGAACACCTACTTGCATCCATCTTTAAGATTGATGCTTTACACTTTTCAGACCGCATATGTAGAAATGCGGTCCAGCCCGCATGAAACAATTTTTCTTTTCAAACTTTTTAAATTTATTGACCACATTAAAAGTGATGTGCCAGTGTCAGGACCGCATTGAGCGGCATCACGCATCAAACCCCAACTGCATCCCTCAATTTAAACATCGGTTGAAACCATAGTTGTTGGGTACAGGAACGGTTCCCGAATCGGGGGCGGGAACGACGGATCGAAGCTATATTTAAGATCCCTGTGTCAAGGATCAATGCTCGTACAACCTCAAATGTCGGGATTGAGGTCCATGTGTAGTGAGATTTGAACTCCTTTATTACATGGGATCGAGAAGTATCATATCAAGGTATGAGATCCTATATGTAAGAAGCGAAGTTTCCAAGGGCATTTTTTTGAGTTCCTTAACTCAATGAGCGCATATATGGAGCAAGGAATAACTTTTATAGGAGCGAGCTCAATTATTATATAGGATCGAGAATTATCCTATCAAGGTGCGAGATCCTATATATTAAAAGTGAAGTTTCCAAGGGCCATATTTTTTAGTTCTTTAACTTACGGAGCGGATAAGTAAAAGTGATCCAACATATAATGGACCGATGAATATCTTTTATAGGAACGAGCTCCTTTATTACATAGGTTCGAGTATTATCATATAAAGATGCCAGATCCTAACAAGAAGTGACAATCCCAGCAACAATTTTTTAAGTTTTTTAACTCAAGGAGCACATAAGTAAAGAGAGCCAACATATTATGGGGCGAGGAATAACTTTTATAGGAGCGAGATCCATTATAGAGAGAGAGAGAGAGCAAGAATTATGAGAGAGCAAAAATTATGGCTTTACAATTACATATACTTGAAGCGGTGGAGAGAGAACTTCTACAATCAAGAGAGCATAAATTATGGCTTTGCAATTACAACCACATGACAGGGGAGAGAGAGAGAGCGAGAGAGAGAGCTTTGCAATTATAACCAT